AAAAAAAAAGAATGGAAATTTGCTAAGGATTATATTATCATTTGTAACATCTAGTTCATCAAGGCTTTTGTGCTGGAAATAGTATTTATTTTATCCATTTAGATAACGATTCAATCACTAGGACTATCACAAAGCCTCAAAGTTTATAAAAATGACAATTTAGTACCCAAATTATTTTAATATGAGCTGAAAAATTCCCGAAACTTTTATCCCCTAACATCAACTAAGAAACAATATATTTTAAAGATAACTTTTTCTCGAAAAGCTAAATTATAAAAATATATATACCCCGTGAGAAGAAAAAAAAGCACTATATTCAATGAAAAAACTTCATCGAGTACAACGTAAATGTTGAATGATTATTCATGTATTTTTAACTCAACTGAAGTAAATCTAGTCTAGAAATTCATCCGGCTAAATTTTGAGCAGCATGTCCAAAACCAATTCTTTCTGATGGAAAATAATTTAAAAAATAATAAAAAAAAGACTGAGAAGAAAAGTCAAATTTCAAGAGAGTTTATATCATTCTCCCAACAAAGACTTCCAATTTATTCCGAACTATTATCACCCCTCATTCCTGTTTTATCACTGATTCAAAAACTGGCTTTGTTAAGGATAACGAGCAAAAGTGAGTAGCTTAATCACATCTAGAAGAGTGATTAAAAGTCCTTTTTTCTCTTTGTTTCCAAGTTGCTTGCTCAGTTTACTCGAACAAAAACAATCATAATCTTAAGCTTTAATTAATTGGTTTTGCAACTTACTCAAGTAAGCTTTTGATTGGTACCTATTTAAGTGTTGAAGAGAAAGATGTATGAGAAAATCCCTTATAAATTGAAAATGAAAGTTTGATGAATGTTTTACCGAGAGGATTCAGGTTAGGTTAACTGATTTATAATTTTGGAGGACATTGATCAATTCACAGAGATAATCGCTCTAGAATAAGATTAAATTCATTTGTCATTTGTGCCAATTGCTCTCTAATGAGAATTCCATACATAGGTTAGGCCTCTCTGGCGATCTTCAATGCAGTTGAAGTTTATGACCATTATTATAATTGCTTTGTGAAAACACATTTCTCTGAGGCTCTGATTTTAATTCTGCGGATTCAAATATAAGAATTTTTTCAATTCATTAACAACCAGAAACTAAAGCATGCTCTTGTTTTCACAACAATCACAATCAACACTCACTTTAGTGCTGAAAAGCAATTGAGAGAGCGGAAAAAAATTCCATACAAAATGACTAGAAAATGGACAGAGCAATGCTAAAAGGATTTGAGAAAGAAAGAGAGAGAGAGAGGGAGCTTACACGGGAAAGGCAAAGGAGCCGAAGCTTGTGGTGCTGCTGCAATCAGACTGCCTCGAAATGCTATCGATAAGCGGATACCCCGTCGTCTTCTCCTCCTCTACCTCCTTCATCTTATTCACATCCACCAGCTTCACATTCCCTTCGATCGCCCCCCTAGCCGGCATCACCCTCGGCGGGGGGCATTCCAAAGATCCGCTCATCAAATCCTCTGACCTCCCCATCAATAACATCCCCTGTTCCCTCGAAAAACTCGAATTCCCCAACTGAATGCTGAATAGCGACTCATTCGACGCTACACTCCACTCCTTCGGCGATGTAGTCGCCGTGCTCCTCGCGAACACCGACATTGGAATCCGATTCGGATCCGGAACATCATACCTAATCGGCGGCGGAGGTTTCCGGCTGAATTGCTTCGCCGACAGCCTGATTTCATTATCAACGAAGATCGGCATCCTCGGTGGCTTCGTTGAGGAATCGCCGAGCTCAGCAGATTGCAGCTGGAATAAACCTTCTTCGTCCAGATCAGAGCCCGATGAGTAGCTCGTTTGCTCATTCTCGCGGTCGGCATTGATGTCATAAGAGTGGTGAGGGATGGCGTGGCCGAAAGAGACGGCTGCGGGTGGCGGAGCGAGATCGCCGGCTAGTTTCTCCGGCGTGCGGTTCATTTTGCAGGCAGGAGAACAGAATCGTCTGCCATATAACATCTGCAACTCCGGATATAAATAGCCGTAATATGATGTGTGGTGACGGTTGAGTTTTCTTCTTTTAAATTAATTTATTGAATACATTTATGCGCATTTACATACAGACCACACAAATCTTTTGTGTATTTACATATGTAACCTCCAAATTTTTTTTACTTTTAGGGAATGTTTGGGGCAGCTACATCTTATTGAATAATTTGCTGATAAACTGATTAA